TTCCCGACGAGGGCGTTGCTCATATTTCAAGTCCCCTGCTTATAAAAAAAAACATCTAATGTCTCTAAAAAGTATTCATGAGTGAATGCACTATGTCACTAAAATAGGCGACCCGTGACATTGCCAAACTGTATTTATGTAGCAACTCAAGTATGCACACTTGAACAGGAGATAAATGCTGATTTCCAATGAGGACCACATTTTCACTTTCAAATTCAACAGTCATTAGCCTTTATTTTTAAAGCACTGAGTATACATTTATACAAGGGTTGGAACTTTAATAGTGGCAACACAGGTGAAAAAACGCTGCGCAACAAAACCAAAGAATATCGCATATACCACACGTGAACTACATACCTACCTTACCTCTCAGCAAAACGACTCGTCCTGCCTACGTCACGTGCATGCGGAGTGATGCGTAGAATGAATCCTTGTATTAGCTCATGTTCTAAAGTAAGTGTTGTCAGGATGTTTTCAAAACAAGAACAACGATGTTGGATAAAAATTGAATATGCCAGAGGTCGTACAGCACAACAGTGTCATCAAGGGCTTCAAGATCTACCCACATAAGCAAGATGGGTGAAAGCATTCAATGAAGGATGCCAAAACGTGGAAGACATGCTGCGGCCAGGTCGTCCAAGTGTCAGCGATGCAGACGTGCAAGCTGTTGCCGCACTAATGGACAGTGATCGCCGCCAAATGATTCGTCAGCTGGCCGGACAAACAGGATTAGCGCATACAACTGTGCTGCAGATTCTGAAGGAACGCATGTCCATGAGAAAAACTGCTTCACGATGTGTTCCACATCAATTGATGGAAATGCAGAAATGGCTACGATACGATGCTGCCCGAACCCACCTGGAGTGCTATGAGCACGAAGGAAATGCTTTTTTACGCCGTATCATTACGCTGGATGAGACTTGGGCCCGATCATACCAGCCAGAACTGAAACGCCAATCAAACGAATGGCGTCATCATGGGTCACCACAACGTTCGAAATTTCGTCAGAACCCCAGCAATGTGAAAGTTATGGTGATTCTCGTGTACGACTGTGATGGTGTCATCCTAACGCATACCGTTCCCCCACAGCAGACCATTACTGCTCATTTTTGGAGCACAATCTCCGACCAGCTTTGAGAAAAAAACGGTGACACTTTCTGCAGAACGCTCCTCTCATTTTGCATGACAATGCTCGGCCGCATGCAGCGCAAGCTGTGATTGATTTGTTTAAGTGATGGGGCTGGGAAGTGCTTTATCATCCACCATACTCCCCAGATATAAGCCCTTGTGACTATGACTTAATTCCTAAGATGAAGGAACCACTTCGTGGCACTCGCTTCCAAACTGTTCCTGAGATTCTTGCGGCAGTAGACCGGTCCATTCAAACTATCAACAAAACAGGCACTGCTACAGGTATTCTGCGACTTCCACATTGTTGGAAACAGGTTGTACACAATGCTGGTGACTATATTGAAGGACTGTAAAACATGGTGACATGAATCACTTTTGTATTCCTTGTAAATAAATAGTTGCCACTATTAAAGTTCCAACCCTCCTATATATATATATTTCTTGTAAGGAAACATAATGGGACTATGGAATCTGACAGCTGTTGAAAATGTAAGCATTACATTTCTTCAGAAATATGGCATTTACTTTACAATAGAGAATGCTAAAATTCACATTTCATGAAGCTGTACTTCATAAACTATAGAATTTTATGGATCAAAATTTATGCACAATTTTCAATTTGTGCAATTCCCTAATGTTTCTTAAGCTAAAACAGACAGCTGTGTGCACATGTTTAAGTGGAAACAGACCACGGTGGACATGAGGAGAACTGACAAGGTGCACAGTTCCATGTTTCTGCAATTCTCTGATGTGTTTCAAAGCTAAAACAGATTGCAGGGTACATGGGAAATAAAGCACGTCCCCCCAAAAAAATGCAAGTGTTTTATTACAGTCTCTTGAATTTTTAATTTTGTTAACTGGTTACTGATTTATGTAATTTTAAATGTTACATTTTTAAGTGGTTTTCCAAATGGCTATTGACTTTTATCTTTTAGTTTGGTGAAAAATTAGTCAGCATCAATTTTTTGACTTTTTGGGAGGATACATGGTAATCAGAAAGTACCTAAAATTTACTGGAATTTTGCTATTTAAACTTTGAGTGTTGAAATGTGATGTTTGATTTTTATACAGTCATAGTACCCCACACACCTATAGAATATATTTAAAGTATTTATCTCTTCAAAATACAGTACTCTAGAGACTTCAACTAATGCTTGCTTTTGTCTCAAGCTTTTAGTTGCAATATGTACGCAATTTGTCCAGCCATTTAGGATTACCAGGAATTAACATACAATTTCTTATGTAGTACATCAAAACATAGCTGATAAAATATACTGAAAAATTTATGGTCCTCCTTTCAAATCTGAAATTCAAATGGTTGAGCATCAAGCAAGCTTATATTGAAATATATGGCATAAATTATGAAAACTACAGAAGAGGTAAAAAAGATGGAAGCACAGAATATGTACGAACAGCAGAATTTTTCATATCTCAATCTAGCATATAACATTTGTGATATTTAATTATACCTGACATCCTTCTTTTAATCTACACTTAGAACTAACTAACAACTAATTATTCTATAAATGTTTTAACATTTCTATAACCATTAGTTGATAATTCTTTAATACACTTTGAATAGAAGTGGATACCAAAATATTATTAGTAATATCAGCATCCAACTTACAACACTGGCATGTGCAACATTTTATATTAAACCTTCTACAAATTAAGCTGAGCAATCAACAATATTTATATTAACCATCTAAAAGTTAAGTAAGTTAGTTCATGAAACTTCGTTTTTACTGTCCAAATCAGTGTTTTCATTACAAAGTTGATATGGGGCAGGAAAGAATTTCATTCCAGTTGCATTTCTTAGTTTGCAGTGCAGCTGCCTTTTGCAGTACTTTTTAAATGTATCTACATACATTAACATTATGGTGATGTATCTCAAATCTTGCAGAACAATATAACAAATATGCATAATTTTTAATTTGCAATGGAAAAACTAAAAATAGGTCAAATAGTAAATTTCTTCAAATTTAAATTCTTAAAAAATTTCCAGCTTTTTAAAAAATATTTTTCAAATCCTCCAAATAAAAATAATAAGAAGGGAAAATAATCTTTGACTTACTATTAAAAGTTTTTAAATAAAATAATGTTTAAGATCTACATTTAATGAAACACCTCTAAGAGAATACACTTTTTAAAAATGTGCTTATGTTTATTAAAAAGATGCAAATGAAATTTAGTAAATGAAATACGTAATTAAACTTTTGAATCTTAAAGTTCATTTTTCAGTATAGCTTGATAAAGATGCGTGAGTAATAGCTAGTTCAAAATTCAATTATAGCTGAATAGTTTAACTGGTAAACCAATGGAATTACATTAGTATTGCAGCATTTCAAGAGTTCTTAGGAATATCCAAGAGCTATTTGCAATAAGTAATCTATGTCCAAAATTAACAAGACAATTCAAGAATTTGTAAGATAAAGCAGTGTACTGACCCAATGTGAAACTCTGTGCCATCAAAGGATAAAATTAGTGATTCAGAAACTATCAAAACTGAATAATCACATTCACTTTCTAGTGAATCAATAACTAACTTTCATACTAAACTTTCCAAAATTTTGAGTTTAAAAAATGCTTGGCAGTTTTTTAGAATTGCTAAATGTATAATTAGTGCTAATATTTGAGTCTTAGAAATTCAAACTTTTCCATGATTTGCAGGATTTGAATGTCTCCTCCTTAGAAAAAATAAAATGTAACTGTTAATTCAGTTTGAATCTAAAGAATTAAATCGATTGTTTAGGATAGCATTTGATCTCAGTAAAAGTCCCTGTGAAAGTAAGTCTATGTGAAAACTGTATTGGAAAAACTAAATAATTATTTTTATATGAAATCCTGTAAAGCTAACACCTTTATAACCTTTCTCAAAGAATGCATATATGAACCAGATTCCTCTAGAAAGTTGTTCATGAAGGCATCCCTCCAATTTGGAAGATAGTCCATATATGTCATATCAAATTCAAGGAAACCTTTCTCAAATAGCAATTTTTCCCACAGTGGGCTGCCATGTTTCACTTACATTATTCTTTCACAGGCGTTGCAGTATATCCCTTATAGTACATCATAACACTTAAAGTAAAAATTATGGAAAACTGGACTTCCAAAGACAATTCAGATTTTCATTATTGTTGGTGATTATATCAAAAAAGGTTAATACCTTTTTTGAAATGTCAGCCCTTTTTTTCATCGAATTAGCAATAATTTATTTAACAGTTTATTTAATTGTTTATATAATGTATCCTTAACTGAACAATAATGTGTTACAACAGTTTTCAAATTATAATAAGTTTTTACTCTACTTTTTCCACAAAGATAAGCTCTGTTTTTTATAAATCCTATATATCATAAATATACACTGAATACTAAGTTGAGGATATTACAAATTTTGTATTTCAAGAGCATGAAAATATATATGTATAAATTATTGGACAGAAGAGACACCATATAGGCTTTTAAAACACACCAAAATGCTATATCAAATTTTACAGAATGAAATTTTCCCCGAATTATCATATAACTCAGATTGTTATATCTCTTTTTAATATAACAATATTCATCATTTTATTCTAGCCTGATCAGTTCTTATATTTTTATCTGATCCTTTTGTATTACTGAACTTAAAAGCTTACAATATAGCATTAATATGAGTTTTCAGAAACAAAAGTCAGCAATTTAAATTTTGCTGTATATTTTCAATAAATGCATATATAAAACCAAAGTTATTGAGTAAATATTTCAGCAAGTACATAAGACAAAAGAAATAAATTAATAACCGAAAATCATGGCTTTCTATGAGGCAAGTCTAGTGTTATTTTTTATTGTAATAACAAATATCATTAGCTATAATAAATTTAACTTACACGTCCAGCAAAAAGGCCACATATACCTATCACAAAGGCAATGTTATAAACAGCTGAACCAACAACGGTGCCGATGCCAATGTCATCCTATGATAGGACATTTGTCAACAAAAGAAAATTATTAATACAAGAATATTATGCATTAATTTCAGATGTATTTTCAATGCTTTATCATGCTAAAATTTAAATTAATATACAGCAAAAACAAATTAAAATAAAATAATGGTAAACATGGATTCAGTACAAATAGATTTTTTTCCCTCTTCTCTGCAACAAATGAAATAACTAGATTGTTTTCCCTCTTGTCTAACATATTAGAACTTAATTGCTAATAAACATGAAAGGAGAAAATAAATTACACCATGTGCATTTAAAATATATACCATATTTCCTCCCTTTTTTCACAAATTTTATTGTCTGAAAATCGAGAGGGCAGTGTCAATGTAAATAAAAAAAATTATGACTTTTAGAAAATCAGTAGGATGAAGTTAGCAATAGTAGTAACAGCAATAGTAGCAACAGTAGTAACAGCGGTAATAGTATTAATAGTAGCAATAGTAGTAACCGCAGTAATAGTATTAATAGTAGCAATAATGGTAACAGGAATAGTATCAATAGAAAAAAATAATAGGATGCAGTTATGGTAGGAACATAATAACTGAAAAGTAGTCATGTATAAACTACAGGTAACTATCACAATATTATTTCTTAAAAAGAAATCCACATTCCAGTTAGAATACATAGTAATATTAACATTATAATATCTAATAAAATATCTTCATTTCTACTTCCCATAACTTGAATCCTCTTATTATTGTCTCTGGTACTCCTTAAGCATAAATTCATCCATAAATAATTAGAGAAGGTGAATGTGCAGATAAAGCTGATGTTAGGGGTTTAACCACCTGGTGCAGTTTTTACGAGTCCTAAATTCTGCTGTCTAAAAGCCTCTAAAACATCTAAATTTTCAAAATTTCTAAATCTAAGAATTTCTAAAATTTACATCTAAATTCTCACAATTTGTACCTCTAAATATTGCTGTCCAACTCCTCTTCTAAAAAATAAAATTTTTGCCATCCTTATATGTTATGGCTCAGTGTTTCTCTTGATTCTGAAACAGTTGTAGCCCTTAAATTCTGCCACGTGGTGCTGCAGCACTGTTTGCACAGACTTTGCCACTTATGACCTGTGCAGATTCAACGAAACCTTTAACACGATGTGTGCAGATTCAGCAAAATCATCGACTGAATTTTAGTTTGTGTTTGCTTCAGTTCCTGTATAAGTAACTAGTGCAAAGTTCAGCAATTAAAAGGGAAATATCTGGCATGACGTTCACAGGCAGTTTGCAAGGGTTTACCTGTTTACCTTTGTAAGACAGAACAAGTCACTACATGTATGAATCCATGTTAAAATTTACCAAAACTCATTCTCTGTACACAGTGAAGAAGGGGAAAAATCAATACAAATCTTTCTACAATTTTTAGAACTTGTTGTTAAAAATTAGGGTAACAAGACAAAATACAGTATTTCAAAAGTATATTAAAAAAAAGAAAAAAGTAAACTTTGAAGGAAAAGAACTAAACAAATTAGCTTTGAATTTCTCAGATACAAGCCAATCAAGAGAACCTTAAAACTACTCTAGTTTAATGTTTTTGCAGAGATCTCTTAATAAGTACTTCAGCTATCATTACAGAATCATTCTTATTTTAGTTCCTTATGAATTTACAAGTTTATTTGCTCAATCATTTGTTACAGAGTTCACATGAGCTGTCTAAAACAACAGAGCTGACCATATGAAGTAATCGTGCCTTCATTCAAATTGCTTGATTCATCATGGCAAAGAACAAAGGCTTATTAGTTTTCACATGATATGATGAATTAAATTAATGGGAAAAGGTCTTATGAAGCCCAATACATTAAGGGAAAAAAAATGTAAACTTCAAATTGTACACTGAAAAAATTCAAAGCTTTTAAATAATTTTTTCATTATAAATAATGAGTAAATGATTTAAACAGCTCTATTTCTTACATTTAGCTAGCATGATAAATGACAAAAAAGCACAAAATAAGAGGTTGTTCTTACACTATCACAACTTCAGTAATTCATATGTAAAAAGAATTTAGTGTAGGCTTTTTCATTTAATCAATGCTAAAGGTATATTAAGACATTTGTTTTACTTCATTATTAATTTATCATATATTTTTATTTACTTCTTCTTTCAAGTTTTTTTATTTATTTATTTACTCTTTGATTTACTTTTTATATTTGAGAACGAGTTTCAAATTTGCTCTACCATTTTTAATTCATTGCTTTGTTTACAGATGTGTTTTGTTGTTCATAAAAACAGGATTTGAAGGAGTTGGGATTAGAATAACTTTGTGATAATTACTACAATTTACCATGCTTTAATTACAGCATAACTAATTCTATTGATCATTCAGTTACTTTTGAAATCAAATCTCCCTTTTTGGTTTTCAGTTACCTCACTAACCTCAGATACACTGAAACAAAAGTTTTAGCTAAATGATTCTTCTTTTCTTTTAATTTTTATTTGCATTCCATTTCCTTTCTCCTACTACAAGTCATGAAAATTTTGTTGTTATTAAATTTCTCATTTTTATAATTGTCTTACATTTTAAGTAGATTGTCTGTCTGTTAAATGCTGATAGTAAATTTTACTCAATTTGTTTACTGTTCTTTAACATGCTTGCAAGTTTTAAAATGCCTAATATCATGTTTTTTTTTAAATCATCTTTAATTCCATTTAATTATTCTAATTTGCATGCATGTATTTACAAATACATAAAAGCAATTATTAAAGGTCAAAGTACTTTGGATTAGTTAGTTACTCTTAATTTATTTTACAACCTTTTTACATCTATACTTAGATTAATCTGCTAATCAATTTTACAGCAATCTACAGTTTTCAGTCTACAAAAAAGAAAAAGGAAAATAATTTTTACCTTTGCAATAAATACTGCAATGACTGCTGTAGCTAATTCAGGAGCTGAACTTCCTGCAGCCATAAATGTTGCACCAGCAACATCTGACTGTATTTTAAGCACTAAATCAATTAAATTATATGTAATAAAATAACTATCTATATGTAAATAAACTAAATTACATACATTAATAAACAAAACAAAATCAAATCAGACACATAAAATTTATATAGCGTACTCAAAAAGCATTTTCTATTTAGCTACAAAATAAAAATGAATTATGAGATGTTAAAAAAATTTACCATTTGACACCTTTTAAATTATTTTTCTACATAACCCTTTGCCATAATTGGAACATTGAACTGTTATTATTTATCCTGTCATCCAATTTTTTTAACTCCTTTCTCACAGAAATTTGTCATCTGTTCAATCATAAATATCACATTTTACTCTTTATACTACCTCACTGAATCACAGTCTAGTGAGGAATATATCCAAATGAAAGAAAGATGAAAGTCTAGTGCCAAGCTTGTACAAAGGATACTCAATTTGCTTCCAGCAAAATAACTTGATTAAGTTTTGAATTTGAGTAGTAATATACAAAGAGTTTTGTCAGATTATTTCACATCAGGTGTTTTGAGCTGTTCAATGTCTCCCCCCCTCAAATCCTTAATTACACTTTTGAGTTTATCATTTTTCCTTGAGGTAAAATTACAATTCAGTTCAAAAAGATGTTGATCAAAGTGGATAGCTGTTTTATGATTGATAATTCTACGATATAGTAATTCATTGCCTTCGTGATAGCATTAAGTGAGAAAGCTGAGAGGAAAATCAACTTATTTTTTCCTTCTCTTCTTCAAAAACACTTAAAGAACCCAGCAAGAGTACAGCTTTCGATATTCATTAAAGTTTTGAAAATTTATTACAGAAATGTCCCTTATATTACTGGGAAACTAGAGGTGGATGATCAATTCCAGAACTGATTCGAAGAACCGATTCATTTTACTGATTTATTCTGATTCCAGAAAATTGAGTTTTAGCTTTTATACAGTTTATGGAGTTTTTACTGAAAGTATGGCAGGAATAGATATCTGCGATTCATTCATGAACTGGTTCACTTTACTGAGTGAGCTTATGCTTGATTGATAAAAAAAAAAGAACAGAACTCTTGTTGACAGCGTGCCAGGAAGGTTTGATTTCCATTTTAGAGGAGAAAAGAGTTTTTTCCCCCTCCTATGTTAAAAGTGAGTTCAATTTTTTATCATGTCCCAACTATTTTTATAAAACTTTTATTCCAGAATTTTATTGCTAATTCTATATATAAAGAGGGTTTCAGATAATCTCAAAACTACAACTGAAAGAAATCAGTTCAAGGAATTAGTATTTGATTGAATCAATTTTTCCAATCCCAAACCTGGTAGAGTTCCCACCTTCCCTCTATTCACTCTTACCTCATTAACTGGTCCCAATTCCACAGCTTGTTCGATTCTTTCTGTTCTTGCTCCATCCTTGCAAATCACTCTTCAGTCACTCATCTTCCTTCCCATCATTCTTCATCAAGATTATTGTTAGTGATCGGTGAGTTATAAAAAAGAACTGATTCATTTCATTGATTTAACTGTTCTGATCTCATCCCATAAAAGAGTAGTTTTGCCCATCTATATGGGAATCACATTAAAAAACAATGAAATTATGAAGGAAAACTCAAGTAACACACATAACATCTATCTCCACAATATCTTTCACATGACATTGCATCCTACTCTGCTATTCATTATCACAGCATGTGTGTATTTTCCCACCTTTTCCTAAGCACTGAAACATACATGCAGAATGAACTAAAAATTTTGGAAACTTGATTATGAGTATCTGCAAGTAACAGTGTCCCACATTTAAGAAGAATATAACAGATAATATTTTGCCTTTAGTGGGATTTTCAATCTTCGTACACACTTTAAAATTTGTTTTTGAATAGAGTAAGCTATTCAGTTCAAAATTACATTTTATCTAAGATAGTGCACAATATAGCAAAACTTATCATAGTGGATAACCTTGCTATTCCTAGGTGCGATGAGTGCAGCCTGCACCAGATACCAGCTCTGAGGGAGGGACCAAAAAAAATTGCTGTTATTGTATTACTGCGTCTTTTAACTACATGAAATAACATGGCCCTTTACAATCGCTAATTGCAGATGAATGATGTGATGATCTGGCATTATTGTGTGGTGCTTGGGGGAAGGCTAATGTCTCATTTCTTTTGAAGTGTAGTGGTGTTCAAGTAAACAAACAACCAGTCCTAGTGGCTCATCATCTCACTTCCACCCCCCAGAAACATCATTTGCTCTAAGTAGATCTGTGCAACAAGAAGGTATTTTTAACCCAAACGTCACAATAATATAGTGTCCATGTGAAAATGAACTCTTCTTGAAGGAACCTGGACCTTTTTTTATATTTTGGATAGATGACCATGAAGTGACAGCGTCCAAAAAAAAAAAAAAAAAGCCAAAAGTTTTTAAGAAGTCCAGTTGCTGCCCAGTTTGAAGATGAAATTTGTTAAACTTGTGACATCAACATTAAGTGAGGAAGAAGACATAATAACATTATCTTCTTAACCTGAGAATGAAGTTGGAGTTGACAAAATACCTGATAGAAGTCATGAAAGCAAAGAATAAATCAGAGGGGGCATTCATGAAAAGACCTGAAAAGTGCACAGAAAATGATAACTTTGGAGAAAATCATAATGCATAAAAAAATAAATTAGAAGACAACCCAGCAGACAACAAGAAAGAAGGAGGAAGAGGAGAAGAAGCAAATGAAGAAGAGACTAATAGTAATATTTTATTTTCTGATATCTCTGATTGGCCTTTCTCTATTCCAAATAATCTAAGAGTTGAATTAATTAAAAGCAGAAGTGAAGTGTTTCAAAACAAAGATCGTCCATTTCAAGAGAGAAGAGAAATATGACAAAGTAAAACATAAAATTAGGCAAAGCAGTCTTGTGTTTTGGGACAGATTTTAGTCGACTCACGACTTTGAGTCTTGAATAAAATCTACACCAAACACGAGGCTGTTGCTTTTTCTGATTTTAAGGCCTTTTGTTTCAGTTAAGAAACACTGGGATAAGATACAGATTGCTAACCGACAGTTAGTCTGATTGGTTCTATATCAGTCAGCCAAATGGCGACGAAATTCTGAGAACCTAGTTGGCATATCTAGTTAAAAACCAAAACATGTACTATTTTTGTCTTAGGCTCTTTGGCATACCCAATTAAAAACCAACACCTGTACTGTTTTTGTTGTAGGCTCTTTGGCATAGATGAAAGTTTGGGCATACATCTAAATTTATAGCTAGTTTTCAAGCTTGGATGAAACTTAGTCTGAAAGTTCACAACCATAAAGCCTCAGAGCAACATGTAGATTATTTTGAACAATGCAAAACATTAAGAACAAGTCTAATTGCCAATAGAACAACTGATCCAATTACACATACTTCTCCTGAAACAAAAAAAAAAAAAAAAAAAAAAAAAAAAAAAGGAAGATATCTTCCCAGACGTCACATTACTTTTGGCTAATTGAACTCTTCTATATCCGTAGAATGAAGCTTCCATTCTACGGCCTCAAAAAACATATATTTGTGGAAAACAAAGGAAATTTTCTACAGCTGACTGAACGTCTATTAAAATATGATCCTATACTAAGAGAGCACTTAACCAAGTTAGAACGGTCAACTTGGTATATTTATTTTGGATTTCTATCCCTCATTATTTGAAATAAGTAAAGAATAACTCTCTACAGACAAATCTGACTTATTCCTATCTGAATTCTGAAGACCATTCTTGACTTTTGTTTTCATGCAGATAACGCATTCTCTATATTCCTGATTATTCTTGACTTCCATTTCAAAATTCAAACACTTCAGGAATTAAATCCTCAATATCTATATCCAACTTAAATACATGTTTTGCTTTTTCTTGTAAATTCATTTTACATTTTTCTGGTGAATTTATACTTACATTATATTGTTACGGTAATTCAAAGTAGTTTCAGTAGTTGTAAATTACTTGTGTTGTTAATCTTTCTACTGTTTTGCATTTGGTTTTTACTTTATCTAAAGCTTTCTTAGTACTCTCGTCCATGATAATAACTAACAATATGATTCTATACTCTTCTAGTATTATGATGAATAATTCAAAATAAAAATTCTACATTTCGAGAGAGCATACAAATTTCAAATCGAAACTTACCCTTCTTCAACACTCATGTTTTGTAAATGTAGGAAATAACCCGCTTCTTAAAATATGTTAGCTAGTGACATAACTTTACTTACTAGAATGACTGACATTTTTATTAAACTAAGTTTATTAATGAACTAATTATTTACATATTTGCATCCAGCTGTATGCTGAAAAAATCATCACGTTGTCATTACATTCATTCGCACTCTACTAGTGTGGTACCTCTCAAGTATGTGCCCTCTAATGATGGCTTTCTTACAGTGTCATCTGTCAGTACTCACAAGTACATTATTATAAAACAAATGCAATCTGATTTGTCCTGAACATAAGTTCCATTGCTGTTTCATCATTATCTTACACATATCATTCATAACTATTTTACACATATCATCACATATATCCTATTTTCTACTTGCCACAATATAATACACCATGGATTCTGTAACATGTATAAAAGATCATTAGTAGCTGGAGGCTACCACATCAATAAGTTAAGGTTTCAATCTTGGATAAGGTATGAAGGCTCGCGACGGAAGTGATTTTATGAAAGAGGATACTTGAAGTCCATTAATACAAAAACACATTTAGATACAGATTGAAAGAATACAAGACCTTTGGATTCCATCTCAATTAAAATTAGATTGTGGCTTAAGCAGACAGCTCTCTAATCCAATTTAATTTCGAGCAGCATATAATATAAGACATATATTAACAGATATATACTGCTGTAAGGATCTTAAGTTTTACTAACGTTTATTTTATTTTAAATCTTTACTATCACTTCTTATTTTCTACTTCCGGCCAGAATTATAAGCGTTAAGGTTTTTATGCAAAGTTTGTCTGGCAAATGCCAAGTATTTAAGTTGTGGCTTTTTGCCAAGCGAGAGAGAGGAAGCAGTGAGTCGAAGCAGGCCGCTTACCTTAGAAGTTACGCAGTTGCTGGTTGCCTTCCAGGCCAGAGGTTTTAATCCTCTTGAAAATTTTAAACGTACTGTAGTGTTCACAGTTCTCTGTACTACATACGCCTCCTGTTAATATAAGGCCAATCTTCCACGTTTATTATTCTAAAGTTAAATTAGAGTTTAGTTTTATTTTTATACTTTTACGTTTTGACCCCAAGTAGCGGGTCGGTGTATTCCGAAGTACGGAAGTCATTGTAAATAGAGAAAAATAAAGGGTTTTGTATACCATTCTTGTGTATCCTGTTTACTTCCCACAGTTTTGAACATAGCTTTAGTAAGCTCTCTGTTCCGAGTCAGGTCCTTGCATGTTCCCGAAGAAGGTTAGAAGGAACATTGAACCTGATACTGCTTCCACTTTTATATATTTTTTTAATGTACTCTTAAAATTCAAAAGCTTTAATTTTCCAAATTTTTGATAGAAATCATTATAATTCTGAAATTTTAAATTCAATCAAATTCTAAATACTTACATTTGCACATTTTCTCAAGAGAAGGCACAAAATATTCATCACAAAGAATAGCAAGACCCAAGAACATATATAAGGACACAAAAATATGAAGAATTAGTCCTCCATTACGCCGTGTTGTATAATCCATCATTGGACGTGGAAACTGTTCAATATCAGGAGGCGTACAATTTGAATTTTTTGAATGTCTGCTTACATCTAAAATTAAAAAGGAAAAATTATTTAGAAAAAAAAAAGCATAATGCAAAATCATCTTACTTCAAATTCAAATCTTTAAACCTTTTTAAAAAATATTAAAACTTTGAATTATTCCCTATGCTTGCAGTCCAGGCCCAGTGAATGTTGTTATATTTCTGGAACAAAGAAAAAGGTCATTCTCCTAAAAATGTAACATGAAAATATTACCCATTATTTGTCATTCATCCAAAAATAGCACTGATGCCAAATTATTCTTTTTAAATTTAAAAAAGCATTACAGGAGAAAGCCACTACGATATAAAGAAAAAAATCCATATACATTCAATAAAATGTATTGAAACACCTTGAACTACTTGAAATGTGGACCTCATGTATAGTGGCGTAGCTTGAAAGGAGCAAAGAGGGGGAGGGGGATCTGCCTCGGTCCACACATTTTAGGGGTGACATTTTTTCCATTAAACTCTATTTTTCTAGAGGTTAACAGACAGATTGTTGAAACAGACAGAATGATTAGATTCTAAATAGCCATACAGAATTAAATTGAGAAAAATAATTTTTACTCTAGATAATGTATTCAAAGTATCACCATGTCTTCTGGATTAGTAATCAAAGAAATCACACATGATACCAACAGCAATTTCTTTTATAGCTTCTTTTTTATTCTGTGAAATGTTTAATTGTAACTTCATCTTTTTTTTAACAGGAATGAGAATCGCAGTGCTTTAGTCCTTTTTCAGTATACAAAAAAAAAAAAAAAAAAAAAAAAAAAAAAAAAAGAAATCAGTTCCCAATTTTACTCTATGATTTATTCTCCTAAGATCAGATTCACCAATTTTTTCAGGCACTCCAAACTCCAGCATTGCTTAAAACAGTATCCCCCTGTTAATGCTAACATAAGCAGTCTTAAGATCAATGAAAAGGTGGTATGTATCTACACCATATTCTTTTTTCTTTTTGAATATTTGCCTAATACTGTGTATTTGGTCAGAAGTAGATCTAACCTTTTGGAATCCACTCCTGCCCTCTCTTTTTTTGGCACTGTACTTTCTCACTGACTTAGCAGACACACAGTCTGCTCTGTATACGGCCACCATCCAGCAATGAATATTAGCCGGTTTAACTCTTTTCACAGTTGGAAATCTGATAACATCTTGCTGCTCCTCAATTGGCGAATTTTGCAATGTGAAAGCAAAGATATCATCACATGCACTACCACATCAATTGGATGGAACATACAATTGCCTGCTTCATTCTAGCATCATGTGCAGGAGCTAGCGCACAATAATGTAAGATACTGCGTTTACATCATTAGACGTCTCACTACGTTATGCCAAAGCTGCATATTCAAAGTTCAACTGGTTTGATTGTAACGACATTCATTTGAACATCCCTTACCTATCTCTATGTGCAAAACTTCTGCAGCCATTACCACTCCATTCACAAAGTCAAGTTATTTCTACTGTCACTGAACTTATTGTATAGGCTACACCTTTCAATACAATTCTGTGCATAACAGTCTCTACCTATTATTACATTAAGATCTCTCTCACCAATCTTATATCATCAAGTGGGCATTTCTTCCAGCTTGTCATAAAACATCTTTATGTCTGGTTCCTCTTTGTCCTCAGCAGGTGTGTCTACACATATGATGCTTGATGCTCACATTTTGTAGTACGGCCTTTACTCATATTTTACAAATTCTTTTGTTAATAGATTCAAAAATCTATAACCTTTTATTCTTTTATTTACCAAAAACGCTGTTCTGTTCCAAAGTGATGTTGTTTATCTTGGCAGCTTCAATATAGACTGCATTTATATCTATTAACTTTATATCTTAGATTTTTCAGCCCACCAGCGGCCGAGCGGTAAAGTCGCTGAACACTGGTAGTTCGGTCCGAGGTTCGAATCCCGCGAACGGGCTGGCTCCATGGGCGTTTTCGTGGTTTTCCCCATGTGTAACGTGTATACGAGCCAGTTTCCCTTAGAAAGTCCTCCACGAAAGGCATCCCTCCCCTTAGGCAGATAGCCCTCGTATGCTTTGCCATAATTAAATACACCAACACCTTAGATTTTTCAATACTCCACTGTTGAAGAGCATGTGTACATTCAATAATCCAAGCCTATGTCCTTTTTCATTCCGTGTTGTGCTGATAAAGTCCACCGTTTTATTCTTCCTGAGATTTCCTAACATGTAATTTTTTACAGGTTAAGATTGTCAGCCTCAGACCAAACCTCCCAACCAGAAGAACCTTGATACAATCCCCAGGGGCAGAGTACCCGGCTGTACTCCCTTGACACCGGGTACCTAATTTAGTTGTCTTTTACGTCATGTATAGGCTACACTGAAACTTTTCTTTCACACCAGGTCACCACACAGTTGTTGATTGCAAATTACAGATATCAATTAAATTATGATCATGGTGACATTAATAAGGAGAGTTCCTTGTTAAGAAAAAAATTATTTTAGAATTTTATTTCTGTTATTGCTAAAAAATCAAAACAATAACATGAAGTGCTAGTCATTTCAACTTTTTATAGTTTATTCTAAGATACAAGACCAGAACAAAGTTCCAAATATTATAATACTAGTGTCAACTTTTCTCTCAATTGTTGTAAATGGTACTAACTGTGAGAAGCATTTTCTGAGTAAAGATCCTTTAAGAAGTATTTAAAAACTACAAATGTATATTTTGCATTTAAGACATCTTTCCCTACTAAATAACAGCAAGAGCAAACAGACTCTATAATGTCATTGATGGTTTTGTGAACAAAATAATAATAATAGCGAAATTTTAAAATGTTGAAACCAAAATTTTTCATCAAAAATACATATAAAGCTGTAATTTATTTCCTTACATGTCATTTTGACACTTTCTGTAATTTGTTTGTTATCTGGCTGGCAAACCTAAGGACCACCCCAGGTGACAAACTCAGGGATCCAGCAAAAGTGCTAGTTCTACGTCGCCGCTCAACTAACAATATTTATTATTTTCGAAGAATTTGAGGAGTTTAAAAATGCTAATATCAATTTTAAAAATAAGTGGTCATTTAGTTACCTAATAATTATTTATACTTTGGGTTCAAATACCGAAGAAGACATGGTATAAAATTAGGCAAAGTAACAACCTTATGTTTAGTGTAGATTTTAGTCAAGACTATCGATTTTGAGGTCAAAATAGCTATAGGTACCTCTTCATTAGGAGCAAAGAAATTTGTATTGAAGAGAAAGCCACAGTTGTACTTATACCCAAAAGGTGTAAAGCGAACAAGAATGTAGCACCACCAATTAACAGAAATAGTAAAAAAAAAAAAAAAAATTTGAAAAATTATGTTAATTGGATTTTAAAAGTGTTAAGAACAACCAGACTGCAATTAATGTCATTAACTAAACAAGATAAATTTTTGTGAATGCAAAACTTCAAGAAAATCTAATTCACCAATTGAAGAATTAGATTTTCTAGAAACTTTCCTAGAACCTTCTCCTCTGTGTTACTCCTTTCGATGGTGCTATGTTCTTGTTCACTTTATTCTTTTTCGGGGGGTATAAATACAACCATGCCTTTCCCTTTGTTGCAGATTTCTTTGCTACTGATGATGAGGGACCTGTACCTGTTCACCCTCGAAACTGATCAAACGTTAACTAAAATCTACACCAAACAAAAGGTTGTTGCTTCATCTAATTTTATGTTTGACACGTTTCTCTTATCTTTTGATTTATACTTTATATTTGGTACACTTTTGGAGAGTTAGGATTTAATCTTTGGCCCATGAAGTTATTGGTGTAAATTCTTAGCCATGGAATTTATGCTACAATAACGCAAAAATAAATGCCTTAGCTACATGTAATAAATGGTTCTACTAATGAAAGATACCATTTTTATTTCTTCAAAACTGTACATGGGTTTTATTAATTGTAAAAAAAATACCACATTTGCCGGCGCATAAGATGCACCCCCCTTTTTAATACACATTTTTAAAGATAAAACTTTATTGATCATTATACTGAATCTACAGTAGTTTAAAAACAAAGTAATACTTTCTGCAAATACCCAATCTATCTGGAAAAGAACACCTTTTAATCTTCTTTATCAAAACCCAGACACTCCTCTCCAGAGCTGAATGAAGAGTCACCTGAAACCCTTCTAAACCAGCATCTGAGTCCTCATACAAGAAACTGTCCTCTGTACTATTCAGTGCATTACTACCTCTTCCTGATTCCGCTAAGTTCTTGTAATTTTCTCAGTTCAGGGCAATCACACATAGCTAAGTTATAGAAATGCCGACTTCTTTTTGAGCCATAACTTTCCAACATATTTAAGAAAACTGAACAGTAGAAATTTCACACATTTAAAAGTCGTTCACAGAAAATGGAAAGTTAAATGAACCCAACTATGATCGACGAAGACAGCGTATGCGCTTTCACTAAACTCCACGTAACTGTAATATTCACACTCCACAAAGAAACAAAAGACCACATAATTCTGAAAAGAATGAGTATCGATGTATAAGATGCACCCCGTTTTTCAAACCTATTTTCAAAAGAAAAAAGTATGTCTTATGCGCTGGCAAATACAGTATATATTACGAGGTGCAGCCATTATACAATGAGAACATGACAGCATATTTATAAGAAAATTTATCTATCTTATCTAAAATTTATCTACATTTTATCTAGATGAAAACAGAGCAGCTGTTTAAAATATACGCAGAGAATGATTCTCAAATCATTAAATATTCCTGCATATTTACCAGAAGTTGTGAGAGGATGAAATGTACTCCATACTGTATGATGTGGACACAAGATATCACAGAATTCCTTCATTAAAAAAACAAAAAAGCTGTAATATGTACATTTGAGGATAATCCTGTCCAAGCATCAGAGCTATTGAATGTGCACTAGGCGGGAGACAACCAATTATTTGGAGGACATTAAACAAGAAATAAATGCATCGATATCATTAGTAGAGACTACAGGCTTTGAAACTAGATAATTATATTAAATGTGTTAATTTTACCCATTGATAACTACAGCAGGCTGCAGGAAATCTGACTTCCCTTCATATGTCTTTTCACTGATAAGGCAACATGTGCATGTTCAGACATGTTTAACAACCACAATTTTCACTTCTCAGCACATGATAATTAATCCCCAAAGCATGAGACCGCCTGTCTACCATTACTCGCCCCTTTGGAAAGGATACTTAACAGCCTGTTTAAGTCCAGCCAGTGATTCTAAATATATTAAGTCCAAAGACATGTGCCTTAGGCACTGTCTTGGTAAGCAATGAAATCAGTCATATGAACATTTTATTATGAGCATTCAGCGATTACAAGAGATAAAATCTGGACAATGCATGTGCCAATAATTCATGGACATTTTTTTCCCCCAAGGGCAGATTGTGAACAATTACAATGTAAGCCAGTTCATTAATCTATACAAGACCGGATGTGGTGGTCTCTTTATTATGGAGGCACCTAATAGGTGGGCCACTGTCGCCTTTCCTATGAAGGGATGGACAGTTACAACCATTTGTGTGTGTGCGAGTTTTTATTTCATCATACTTTTATTTCTGTTAATTTCTTACATAATTGCAAAGTTTTTTCCCTTCTAGCTTGCATGAAATGAAGCAGGAGACATGAAAAATGTGTACTGCCCTTGCCAAGATAAAAATACAGTACCTCCATCCACTTACACCCCGAAGGCATGTGGTAAAGAGTGAGAAAATACTTTGTAAGGATTATGTTAACAGTTAAATTTTGAGTTAAATTCCCTTTCCTGTCGATTCTTAACTTCAACTTACCACTTCCGGCCAGAACATAGTTTTAGAATCACGTCTGAATACATAATGAGGAAGAGCGGTATTTAACCACGAAGTTCTTCGGTCTTAGTGAGAGAGACACCAGGTATTCTTGGCTGCATGCCCAAGTTCAAGCCCAAGTGTCAGCTTTATTGTACACTCCAAGAAGCAGTTTTGTTAAACTTTAGTTGGAATAATAAAGGGTTAGTTTACCCATCTATCTCGTTTCCTGTCACACAAACTCAAGCGATTATTCGCTTATCAGTTTTTAAGATTCTTCACGTCCAACAGTAACTTACAATTACAAAGTGAGGAACTCAACAACTTCATAATTTTTGTTTTGTAAACTAATTAAAACAGTTAATCATAAAAATACAAGTATAAATGTAATACAATGTGTGCAAGAAATTGAAAATATCTTCATTAAATTTGCATATATATTGCATAAGATACTGCAGATATGTGTTTTCTTAGTAGCATTAAATTTTATGATTAATTTTTGTAATGGAAAAGAAAATGATAAAGGAAAGTTTATATAAAACTGTCAATACAGATATGCTGCCTGTTGCAATCTGACATTCAACTTAAGGAAAAATTTCATCACATCTCTGTTGGACATTTATAAATCATACTTAAATAAATATATCATACTTAAATAAATATATCCCAAAATAAATATATCTCACTGTACGCACTATTCAAGTCATCATTATTTGTCATCACGTACATTTATAAACCACTCTTTTCAAGAGGGAAGCACACCAAGAGTACAATTAAAACCAGAATATCATATGAACACCTTGAGAACTCCTTGAGAATTGCAACCACACAAACGAACTAAATGCTGGCGCATTAGTTTCTCAAATTCAAGACCAAATATCCAATTAATTTTATTTCTTGTTATCATTAATAAATCAAATTTATAATGGGTATTTATAATGGCGATGTACAAAAATCCAAATATATTATCAAAATAATTCCATGTTTCTGTCATTACACTATGAAAAATCATAAATTAATAAAGTTTGAATTACTTAAATGTTTTAAATGTAGTTAAATATAGAATATGAAATTATCTATATATTCACTCTCTTATATAGAGTACAAGCTGAACAAATTTGAATTAATGCAGTCAAACCCACATAATTTTCTCTTAGAAATGAAATTAAAAATATCTTTCAGCAATCAAACATGAGCAAACAAAAAAATTTTCACCTGCGTAATTGTGTGACTGACTATTTCTCTTTTTTTTTTTTTTTTTTTTTTTTTTTTTTTTTTAAAGGTTACAAGCTGCCACTGGTGTTTAAAATAATTTGTATGGCCCAAAATATATCATCTTCAGCCAAGGAAGCTAAAAGGTTGGATGTTCCTGATCTAGAAGTTGTTGGCAAAATGGAGTGACAGCTAACTCAAAAAAAATTAATTGATGCTAGATAAACTCCAAATGGGTTGGATGGCCAAAATCAGTTTCTTGGTCACCAGATTTTACATGTATGTACACCCTTCACAAAAAAAGAAAAAAAGAAAAGGGGGACAGTTCCGGACCAATTGTTGAAATTTAACTTGCATTTTTCATGTCTCAAAAGCGCGACTTAGAATATATATTAGATTTATATATAGCACTGTTCTAACATAGGTATTTTGACACAAAATTGGGCTACTTCTGAAATAACCATTTTCCATATTTTGATTCTATAACTCAAATTATGCCTGGATAATAAATTTTGTAATTTTTGGTAAGAAATTTAACAGGGTTAATTAACATTAATTTTGGTGAGATTAAAACTCAGCAGAAAGCTTAAGTCCAAATAGACTGGATTGTGCAAACTTGTTTCTTGGTTACCAGATTTTTACACACTCGGACATCTTCTGGAAGGCACAAAGACAGCATGATTTACGAAAGTCTCGTTGTGTCCAATGAAAATCTAATGGCCCAGACTCATTTGCTGCTCAAAATATATATGAATGAGGTCTTTACTAATGTATGCCAATCCATGTATCAGCACTGTAAATCTTGTATTACTACTGCTGGGTGCACTTTAAAGCACTTAATTCGTAAAAACTTAACAGATTGAAATATCTGTTTCTTTTGACTTAACTGCCATTCTCACTAACCTATTGTTCGTATCTTCCTTACATGACAGTACTTAGATATACCAGCATTTATAGGCATTATACCCACACATACATTCCATTACGAAGTTGGTCCATTTTGATTTCCTCTACCTGCTTTTACATTTTTGCTAAACAGGGTACAGAGGGATATTTTAGAATTAACCTGCATATAATATGGGAGGATAATTTTTTATGCATAATTACATATAAACAGAATAGAGATACAATGAATTATTATCAACCATGCAATAAACTGAAAAGAGATCTCTGACTGATAGAGTTAAATTCAAAACAGAAACTATAACTACTTGCTTGATTTATGTAATGTGTGGCTACTGAGAAGTCTCCGATGATGAAAAGAAAACTCCATTGCTTCATTTGGCCCAGTAAGTAGGTGACTGTTGTTTTGTAGTGGCCACAAAATTATTAGTGTAGAAATGTAATAAATAATGGAACAACAAATATACAAACAGATGAATGATGCAATAATGTCTTGCCTCCGTTTAGCCATGGTCACTGAAAAAAAAAAAAAAAAAAATTTTTTTTTATCATGGAAAATATGCATCATTCATATACAAAAAGTGTTATTTTACACATATTTTAGTTTTTGCAAACAAACTTAATAAATAGAAATGAAACTTTAAAATTCTTACAGAACAAATGTTTGATGCATTCCGTATCATGCTGCATAAAATTTACGAAAGAAATGCCCTTCTTCCAAATAATTCTAATTTGAGTAAACTGCTACAGAACTAATTATTTTATGCATTTGTCATAGAATTGAAATGGTGATGTATATGAATGTAATCTTTACTAATGTACACCAATCCATGCAACATGGAATTGTAAACAGTGATGGTGATACATGGTTTTACAAATTTCTACTGTATTGAAATGCCATTAAATAATTTCTATTCTTTTTTTTTTTTTTTCCAAACTCTTATTCTTTTATTTTCTAAACACTAAATTCACATTAGAAGAAACAATAGGAAAAAAGAAAAAAACAAGGAATTTAGGAAATATTTGAAAGAAAATAGGAAATTCTATAAAACTTAGGATTTCTTTAAAATATCACTACATTACTGCAACATTATTACATAGATATTTGTGCTTATTTATTAATTCTTCTTTTTTATATTTTGTTGTACATTAGTTTTTATGCACAGTTATTTATTCACTGCATTTTCATAGTAATTTATAATACTTTATTATGTATTTTTTGGATAATCTTTAATGTGTAGTCTCTAATAATATTTCTATGTATTTAACCACATAGTGCTTTTTGAGTAAACAGCAAACAAGATTTAGAAATATAGGACAGATTTTTATTGTCTTGCTGGACTTCAAGAAACAGTTCTGGAGTATGGAAATTCTAAAATAAATCTTGTTCAATGCTACACAATTAAAATGTACTCCTGTTTAAAAAAATGTTAATTTAAATATAATGTTAACATTTCACTAAAACAAAAAAAAATATTGCAATAACATAGTCTACTATAAAAAACTTTCAGAAATTATCTCTGAAGGGCAAATCAAGAGCCACTGGTTTGGACGAAATTGTAAGTTTGGTTGGGTCATTTAATTGTGGCAAAACACTCGAGGGCTATCTGCCTAAGAGGAGGGGTGATTTCGTGGAGGACTTTCTATCGGAAAATTAACTCGTATACAGGTTGCACGTGGCGAAAACCCTGTTCGCCGGGATTCGAACTCCAGATCGAACTACCAGTGTTCCGATCGCCCGATCCTATTTTACCGATCGCCCGTTGGTGGACCACCAAATTTAAACAAGAAGAATGTGAGAAGCTAACCTCACAGCCACCCTATTAAGTGCAAATATCACTTAGGAGCGTAGATATCGACGCTAATTAAGCTCAATTAAGATTTCCTCAACATCAGTTTAAAGACAAATAGCTTTCAATGACAATTCAGCCGTGATCCTTGTCTGTAGGATTTCAGACGTTCTAGTGAATAATCTAGAGTACTGTATGATGATGAGTCAGTAATCTCGGGGTTCAAAAATGGAGTCTTCATAATTTTTTTATTCTTTATTATATGAAAAGTTATGTATAAAATATACAATCCTTAAACTATACTTGAGAATGAACATTCACATAAACAGTTTTATGGGCCAAAATAATATGTTATGGCATTCAAATTCTATCGGCAGTCTGAGTAAGCAAGAAGGGTTGTCATAACATTTGGCTACCTTCGAGCGCTACTATAAATTTCAAATACAGTCAAAAGTCTTGACTGTATTTTTTGACTGTATTTGAAATCCGGACGCCCGTAATCCGGAATGATCTATAATCCGGACCTCAAAGCTAAAAACATTCTGCGCATGCATAAACGCATAATACCTTTACGCATGCGCATAATACGTTTACGCATGCGTGCTTAATGTATAATATTTAGAGCAATTTTATAAAAGTAAGCTTGAACTTTCGATTATGTCAAAAAGAATTTCCGATTCTGGAGCTGCCAAAGGATCTACAAAGCCAAAGCCGTTTCGATGTCCATCAAACAAAAAGTGGAATTGCTGCAAAAAATGGCTAAAGGCATATCCTTTGTTTCTCTAACTATTCCGAAATCTGTTTATCAATTTGACGCTGCTCTGCGGGGGGGGGGACGTCGCGGCGAGCAATGAACTGGAAGTTGATCTGTCAGCACTATCCTTATCTTCAGCGCGGATGTTTTTATTTTATTCGGCTTATAATTCCTTCCTAAATGTAGTATTTCATCTCGATGTACTCCGTCTTTGATATGATTTAAATCAAATTCCTAGTCATTATAATATCACGAATACACATCAAATAGTTTTCTGGTTGCAATTTTCTAATTTCGACTATGCGTAATGTATGCTTTACGCATGCGCGCGTTGAAAGAAATGTTTAATAATGTAAACAAATAAATATTAAGCTTTTTTTGTTGTTGTTGTAAATTTTGATACCCTTTAGATCATAATTGCTCTTTATTTCATAAATTACGGTTTCATATTTTTAATTTTATAATTTCTGCATGCCATCTTATCAGATTTAAATTGATGATCTATAATCCGAAAAAACTGATAATCCGGAATCGCCGAAGTCCCGACGAGTCCGGATTAAAGACTTTTGACTGTATTCCACATGCTGCGCTGTTTCAGAAGCTGGCTCTGTCATAAACTAAACCACAGCTTCTGTTAGCAGCTATTTTTACACTGCTTGTTACGCTACAGTTTGTGAGATCTATTCCTGAAAATTAATGTGATTTTGAGGAACAGGCGCATTAAATTAAATTCAAACATCTTGCATTTACTTTCAATTAGAGCTTACGTGAGACAGTTTAGGTTCACATTTCGAGAATAGCGGTGCCCTGCAATAAAAATTTGGATAATCAAATGGTCTGCAATGAGTACAGAATAAAAAATGTGCAGAATATTCTCGCATGCACGTACATTCAGAGCTGTATCCAGCCTGTTTACGAGAAGGCCTGCTAATGTGAGACAGTTTAGATCCACATTAATAATTAATTACACATTAACTAATTAATGTCCACATTAAGTAATTAATGCGAGACAGTTTTAGATCCACACCACAATGCACCTTCTTTCCATGTTCCTTGTTTAGCTGGTCAGTTCTCGGAGGACACAGCACTAACCTCTAGCTCTAAATGTAATCAATTCCCGGAGGGCATAGTACTAAGCTCTTTCTATTATTACTATTATTATTAATTCCATCGACGGGTCCAACAGGCTGAAGAGTACCTATTTCAGTGGGCCAGCTGTTCCGTTGATGGCGAAAAGAAAGTAGGTTTAGATCCACATTTCTGCCTTACAATAGAAATTCAGGTAATCAAATGGCACAGTAATGAGTACAGACTTTACTAATAAAAAATGCGCGGAATATTCTCGCATGCACGTATAATCAGCATTTAATTCAGGGCTGTATCCAGCCTGTTTACGGGAAAGCCTGCCGAATATTAATCGAAAAACAGGAGAAAGAATTAAAAATAGACTGCGAAATTACCCTTAAATTAATTTATTTCACGTACCAGATATAATAGTTAATAACAGATATAATTAGAGTAAAAGTGGTGAAAATGGACTAACATAAAGTTATTTTCTACAGTAATTCACTTTTCCTCGTCAGACGCGATGAGTAAAATAGTAATGTCCTTTGAAATTTTACTATACAAGTCACAAAATACTCTCGGCGTCATTCTGTCATCTGCATATACTCATATGGTATATAAAACTCAAACAGATCTCAAAATATATAAAAACTTCAATCATTATTGCATTAAAGCTGCGTGCAATAAGTGTCAAACGATGGCATTTCATTTATTAAATTCTATATTTATTACCTGATATCTAATTTTGCCTATATTTAAGCTTGTTTATTTTATGATTCCTATCTTGTCAAGAATATTATTATATAAATGACACATATTTTATACACACAATGCAATTTTTTAAATGTTTCAAGCATTTTCACTCTACTGAAATTAGGATAATTAATGATATTACATGAGAAGACACCACTGATTTTGCTAATGAAAGCCGAAGAATGTTTCGGATGCTTTCTTTGATAGGAGAACAATCTGTCGTTGCAAATGTTTTTTATTGTGATGCCCTTGATGCATCTTTAAAGTACTTCCTGAATTGTATCTAATTTCGACTGAAGCTGATGAAATTATGTCCCAATTTCCATGACTAGACACATAATTTTATCAACTTCCAAATAACGAACGCTTTATATGCCTGAATCGAAAACTGCGACATCCAAATGGCGAAGCTTGTTTCACATGACTTCGTACTTTAGAAAAATTCTTACATACATATTCAGGTTTACTAAAGCATCTGATCAGCTTGATGAAAGGTGCTCTTTTCTTTGAAATATAAATATCATTTTGAATATAGGTGCACACAATATCTGGATTTCTTTTAATCACTTTGTTATTTCCCTAATGATAGTACGTCTATGGACGACACAGGACAAGTAATTTTTACGTCACTTCGCTTTCACAACAAGTATGTCATTATCATATTTTTCAGTTTGTGTAAGAAATTCGAAGAGGATTTTCACTTTTACAAACAAAGGAAAAAAGCGAAAATATTGCTCAGTGTTTGTTTTATCCAATGAATGAAGAAAAATGTGACTTTTATTGTGGCAAAGTACACAGCGAAGTATAAGTTTAAGGCAGTTTTTCCAAATGTTTCTGATGGCCTACAAGCACTATACTGCTGCGCGCAATAGGTTCTTAGATATCTTGTTAATCAACTAGGCCACATGAACAGGAAGACTTGAAACTTTACCCAAAAGACAGTAGCTTTGATAAGCGAGAAAATACAGGCAAGTTAAAGTCAAAAATCCCAAGGAGATTACATAGAAACAAGGCGAAATTCTTTATTTATAACATACAAGGCATACCGCTGATCACCAAAACCGCTCGCTGAGAAGTAATAATCACAGAGTAGAAAATTCAACAGTGTAAAGCAGACAAGAATCTCCATAAACCTGACACACCAATCTCTTATT